GGTTGCTGGCATTAGCCGCCGTAATGGTACCGCCGTTTTCAAACGCAGGTTTGAGCTTACTTACCTTTTCGGGAATGACTTTATAAATGTCTTCATCTTCGGAGATAACCACCGGGCCTGATTTCTGTTGAATCGTTACCGGTATGATCTCGTGGGCCAGCTTTCCATTCTTCGTAGCCGCTACGGCTTTTTCATAAGAGGCCAGGGCAAATGTATCCTGTGCCTCGCGGCTGATGTTATACTCGCGCACACATAGCTCGGCGGCGTTGCCCATATGATAGTCGTTGTACACATCCCAGAGTCCATCCTTGATCATGCCGTCTGTAAGCACGGTATGACCATACTTGTTGGGGGTGCGTATATATTGGTAGTGTGGGGTATTGCTCATGCTTTCCATACCGCCCGTAATCACCAGGTCGGATAGCCCGGTCTGTATCTGCTGCGCACCGATCATGGTGGCCTTCATGCCGGATGCACAGACTTTGTTGATCGTGGTGGCATCCACATAATCAGGGATGCCCGCAAATATAGCAGCCTGCCGGGCGGGCGACTGGCCCAGGTTGGCCGACAATACATTGCCCAGGTACACTTCATCAATCTGCTCGGGTGAGATGCCCGTCGACTGATAGGTTTCCTTAACGGCGATAGCGCCTAATTGGGTAGCCGATAAGCCTGATAAACTGCCGAGCAATCCACCGACCGGCGTTCGTTTTGCAGCTATGATAAATACGTCTTTCATGATTTTTTATTGCGTTAAATAGTATTAAATGAATACGGCAGTTCCCTGGCCTGGGCCAATAACTATGGCGGCAATGGGATACCTGCCAATAACAAGCGTTGATAATCTATAGCAAGCCTTCTTTTATTTTATATACCGATCGGTATTTTATTGTTGCTAAAAAAGTGAACCTTAAAGGTTCACAGCTCCCTGCCCGGAAGCAGCGAGATAAGCGTCTTTTAATGCTTCTGAAAAAGTAGGGTGGGCATAAGAGATACGGCCCATCTCTACATCCGTCACTTCAAACTCCATAGCAATAACTGCCTGGGCAATCAGGTCGGCAGCCCGCGCGCCTATGATATGTACGCCAAGGATCTCCCCATAAGTCGGGTCTGAAAGCACCTTTACAAAACCATCTGTTTCATCGGCAGCCCTTGCGCGGCCACTGGCTATAAACGGAAACTTTCCCTTCCGGTAAGTAATGCCCTGTTCCTTTAACTGTTCTTCTGTATAACCGGCGCTGGCTACTTCAGGCCAGGTATAAACTACGCCTGGTATCAGGTGGTATTTGATATGCGGCGTCTTGCCATTGATCCGTTCCGCAACATAAGCGCCTTCCTCTTCTGCCTTGTGCGCCAGCATCGGGCCGGCAATCACATCGCCGATGGCATAAATATTAGGGGCCGCAGTTTGCAGGTGTTCGTTGGTTTTTATCCTTCCTTTTTCATCGGTGCTGATACCTGCTTTTTCAAGGTTAAGTCCTGTTGTATAAGGTTTGCGCCCCACGGCAACGAGGCAATAGTCTGCGGTTATTTCCTGTGCGTTTCCTGCTTTATCGAGGTAAGTAACTGTCGCTGAATTGCCATTGTTTTTTGCGCCTTTCACCTGGCTGTTCAGTACGAACTCAATACCATTGCGGCTGAGTATTTTTTGCAATGCCGGGCCCAGCTCGCGGTCCATCGTAGGGATCAGGGCATCGGCATATTCTATGATGGTTACCTTAACGCCGATGCGGCTGTATACAGAAGCCATTTCT